AATTCTGAAGTCAGACGGAGCTGCAACCATTATTATCCATTTTGATGTTTAATATTATTGTCCATGCTGTGAGTTGTCGAGATTTGACCGTATTTTTCATTATTGTAGTAGGCTTATGGCAGTGACAGGAAGTTGTCATGGCCACCATTAAAGTGTTTTTGAGAGCTTGTCATAAGCCAAAATGTTTATACCATGGTGGCCATTATTCTGCGATGTGTCAGATGTATATTAAAGTGGTAATATACAGTCCTACCTCTGCCAACCACTACATGGTGCTGTTGTATACAGTTATGGATGATAATGGCCTACGTCTGGCCCAGGAATGACTTATGATTAATCTTCAGCACATGAAAGGGATTAGAAAATCCCCCAACAATTTGAATATACAATGCCCCCTCACACACGACCCCCTTCCTAAGCCTTTCGTTTTGCAGTTCTCCTGCGTCATGCTCCTACGCCCATCTTACCCAACCCCCCACCCTCCACCCCCCTTCCTGTATGCAATCATTTAGCTGCTAGATAAAATAGGAGAGGTTATGAATGAGACTTGGGTGGCTGCTACACACTGAAGTCAGTGTGCTGTAAAGCATATATACAGAGTAAATGTTATTAACATGGTCCATTCAGCTCTCTTGGGATTTTAGGAACATTTTCACTTAAATCCTTTAAAAGGATGCCTCAAAAGCTTTCTTTGTTGAATGTATTTGTAAACTTGAAAATATTTTTGTATGATTAAACTTTTGTTAATTACATTTTTGTTTATCGAGCTATTGTGACAATTATTGTATATTTGGAGGGGAAAATGTTTAAATATACAAGTTATGTGTAAATTTATGAAGAAAAATATTATTTGAAGGTTTTTCTGTGTCAGACAGAATTTGTTTTGGACAAATCAATATTTGTATACAGCTGAAGCTGATGAAACTGAAACTTGCTTCGTTTATACCTTTGACGTGAAGAGGAGTCTGGAAGTGGATGTGTCTTACAGGAACCATGTCTTACACAGCCCTGCACACAGATGCTGCCACACTTTATTTAATCAGGGAACATGACATTTACAGAAGAAAAAGCAGCCTTGGCCTGTACAGTGTTTGTGAAACTTGAAAATATATTAGGTTTTAAATCTGTAAAAAAATAAATTGTCAATGTTCTGTAAATTGGCCCTAGTTCTATAAACATACCTGTGTAAATACTGGTATTGATTGAGACATTCAGGTTGCTGAATACATCATACAGGGTTCTCTGTAGCATACTTGTCAGTTCAAGTGTAGGATGGAATGAAGAAATCACACAGATGACATCCTGTCAACTTGCTGATGGTCTGGTGACCAAGGTTTCACCTTATTGTACATGTTCAGTGTTTTAGGGAAGACATCCTCACCATGTCAACTTGCTGATGGTCTGGTGACCAAGGTATCACCTGATTGTACATGTACAGTGTTTGAGGGAAGACATCCTCACCTTGTCAACTTGCTGATGGTCTGTTGCCCATGTGGGAATCAAACCCAGGTCTTCTACATGACGAGCAAACACCTTAACCACTGGGCTACCCCAGTGCCCCATGTCTGAATGAAGCACCGGCACAGGCAACAAGAATCAGAAAACATCCAATACATTCATCCTACATAACCTCTCCCTAACGATATACTCCCCTACTACAGACTCTTAACAAAAAGAAGTTTTGCATTTTCAGAAATAGGAGCAATTCATTTAAACAGGGTGTGGGAACAAAATCATATTTTTAGCAATGTTTAAGAACTATTTCACATGACGAGCCCATGCATGAGTGAGCTCTACAGGATATGAGCCATGCAAGAAATGTCCTGTCATGTGTTCCAACATTGGAAACACACCACTGTCATGATAATATGGTACATAGTGTACTCTATACCTACATATTTCAGCTGTAAGCAGTGTACTTCTCCTACTATGGGTTAAAACGACAGGATGGGGTCTGACGTTAATCCTCCCATTCATTCCCACCAGTACGCCTGATTTCACCTCAATATAAGTCGGTTATATTTGTGGATTACCTCGTTATCAATCAGGCATTTTAACACTGACTGAGTCAGCAAACAGCAGTGATGGGCACAGTTTCTGTCACTCTTTATGTTAAGTTGTTGATACAGTAATAATTCTTGTACTAAAATGTCGGTGTTATAACATAAAACTTGGTCCGTATCCAGATGAAGGGACGTGTGGTAATGAAGAGGGGGGGTACAGTGTTTATGCTTCACATGACTGCAGAGGGTGAAATGTCTTCATGTGTTGTGATACTAAACACGCAGTAGTCATCAATACAGTGAAACCTTGTCAGTCTGGACTCTGTGTATCTGGAAACTTTGTATTGTGGACAATTACTGCTAGCAACATTGATATACATAAGGAACCCTATCCCTCCCATACTTGTGATTTGTAATCTGCAAATTATAAATGTTAATGCATTAATGTTAATGCAATTAGTGGTCAGGCCCACTGACTTGATGGACACATGTCATTTTATCCCAGTTGCGTAGATTGATGCTCATGCTGTTGATCACTGGATTGTCTGGTCCAGACTTGATTATTTACAGGCTGCCACCATATACCTGGAATATTGCTGGGTGTGGTGTTAAACAACAAACCAACCAACCAACCAACCATTATTACTATTCCCAGACAGTTTATGTACTCAAAATGAGGACTTGGCAAATGCTTACCCATTCTAGTCACAAACATCAGGTTTCAGAATTACTGTTGTTTGTATGTTCTGCTGATGAGTTCCTAGTGTGTTAAAAAAGGTGTAATTTAGATAAACCTTCACGTACCTCACTAAGTTATGGCAAGCAAACACTTAAACTTAGCATCAATTATGAACTGAAACATAATTCAGAAGGATGAAACAGGATATTGTTTGTTTTTTTGTCTGTTTTTTTTCTAAAGTAAATTAAGAAAACTATAAATGTTAAATATATATATATTTATAATGTTCTCAAAGCATAAACATTGAGTACATTTGTTTCGATCGAGCTGGAAGTTGTATCTACTTAAGAGTATTGTTCTGTCTTTCAATGTGCATTGAAGACTGTAGGTTGAAAGCTCAAACTTAAAAGTTAAATGTTTCGTATATTTTTACTTTAGAACTCTTGAGAATTATTTGCTGTGCAGAATCAGCATTCAAGACTTTGTCAAGTGACACATAATGTCCCACTGCACTGTGTGACTCAGGGGGACACCACACATGGGAGCTGGGACCTTGATCCGCCTCATTGCCGTCTCAGGGTGATAGGATTAGAGGCTATTACACTTTGCGTCGGTAGATAGAAGAGTCAGGCCCCATTGCCCTCATACACCTAACAACATCAGTCTACCTGGAGACGAACATCTTTGTTCAACACTATTGCAGGGATGTACCTTTGAACATGTTCAACTAGACTTTAGAGTAATGTGTGTGTGTGAAACAGTGAGTGAGTGAGTGAGTTTAGTTTTATGCCACACTCAGCAATATTCCAGCTATATGGCTGCGGTCTGTAAATAATCGAGTCTGGACCAGACAATCCAGTGATCAACAGCATGAGCATCGATCTGTGCAATTGGGAACTGATGACATGTGTCAACCAAGTCAGCGAGCCTGACCACCCGATCCCGTTAGTCGCCTCTTACGACAAGCATGGGTTACTGAAGGCTCATTCTAACCCGGACCTTCACGGGTAGTGTGTAAAATAACTTCAATATAATGGAAAATACCTTATGTGCTTTGATTTATAGATAATAGACAAGTGTCTGTGTCTAATCTGACTCCATATCTCACCTGTACTTTGAGGGGTTCATGCATTGTGATTTGCTTGTGAGATTTTTAGGGTCCATAACATGTTATAGTGAAACACAAAAATAACTGAATTCATTAGATTTATACAGGACTGAATGTTGATAATCATAATGATGATACTGACAATTGATATCTTTACAAAATAAACCATATTTCATGACAGCAGGGTAGATTGATGCAAATTTAGTGTGGGGAAAAAAAGAGGTATTTCAAAGTTCAGACTTTTGTACAGCTCCATCATGGGCTGAAAATATGGTGACATTTCACCATAACTTGTTATTCGTTATTGTTTATTGTTATTGTTTCTCGTTATTTTCAAATTTCAGTTTCATTTAAATTTAAACAAATGAAAAATCTTTAATAAACCAGTTGGACACACATGGTTCAAGAACATGACCACAGTTTCTTTTGTGTTATGTATCACAGGAACCAGTAAGATATATCGGCACATTTATTAAATATGAACTTTAGGGTTATATCCACTGTGGAAACAAGACTCAAGTGTAATAACATGATTGTCACCTTGCCAAGGGGCAGTGGGTAGGCCTAGTGGTTAAAACTCTTGAACATTGTGCTGAAGGTGTGGTTCAAACCCACAGAGGTACAATGTGTAAAACCATTTTCCTGTTTCCTCTGCCTTCATATTGTTGGTAAACTGATTTCAAAATGTTGTCTAAAACTTTGACTAAGCAAACTAGGTTTTATAGGATCTACTTCTGAATACTTACTTGTCCTTCAGGATATGAGGTGGAGGTGGCATACTCACTATTTATAAATACTCACTTGTCCTTCAGGATATGAGGTGGCATACTCACTATTTATAAATACTTACTTGTCCTTCAGACTATAAAGGTGGCATATTCACTATTCATGAATACTTACTTGTACTTCAGCATATGAGGTGGCTTACTCTCAATTCCTGAGCATGTACTTGTCATTTCAGCAAATGAGGTGGCATACTCTCAATTCCTGAGCAAGTACTTGTCATTTCAGCATATGAGGTGGCATACTCTCAAATCATGAGCATGTACTTGTCATTTCAACATATGAGGTGGCATACTCAATACCTGAGCATGTACTTGTCATTTCAGCATATAAGGTGGCATACTGTCAAATCATGAGCATGTACGAGCTTGTCATTTCAGGATATGTGGTGGCATACTCACTATTTATGAATATTTACTTATTTCAGAATATGAGGTGGTTTTTCCCTACATCTTTGATGGAGGCGATAATGTTGTGTCCAGAGACTGGAAGAAAGTGGCACGCCATAAAAGAAGCACCATTGGACAGAGTGTCATCCATGTCAACATCAGTGGCTTCGGAGAAACGTTCCACCTGGAAATGTGGGAAAATAAGAAGCTTCTTGCACCAGGATTTAAAGTGTACCGTCGAAAAAATATGTCCAATGACACTGTAGATGAAGAGCAGACGTCAGCGGAAGACCTTGAGAATGACCTTGAGTGTTTATATACCGGGAATGTTCGTAACCACAACAACAGCCCAGTGGCAGCTCACATCTGTGACGGAATGGTGAGTAATACAATTTGTGTTGTGTCCAAACTTTGATGCCGTGTTCCAATCTTTTAAAATGTTTACTGATTACCAAGTTGACGATGGTGCAGATGAGATAAGATGAACATACAGTGATGCCATACTAATCTACACAGTAATGTAACCAAGGAAATTGTCTGTATTAACATATTTCCGGATAAAGGAATGGAGGAATGTCCACATGCTTGTATGGGGACATTCCTTCGAGATTGTCTGGAAGGTTGAGTTCCTTAACTGATGGGTTCCAGACTGACCAAAATCTCGATATACATTTATGTTCATTCAAAGGTGTTAGCTTGAGGTTTTCCATGATTTAATTGGTTTGTTGTTTAACACCATACTCAGCAATATTCCAGCTATATGGCGGCGGTTTGTAAATGGTGGAGTCTGGACAATGACTTGCTTGTCTCATCAGTCTGGAATAGAATACCTACATAATGACTGACACCTATATTCTGTCCCTTGCTTGAATATTGGTTACAATGACGTTAATCTGCCATGCAGCATAGAACCAGAAACAAATGTTATCATTAACCTTAAATTAAACTACAGAGTGGTGGGTTAACCCAAATAGTTAACAAAACTAAAGATTAAACTCCACAGCTGGCTACAGTGTGTGGAGTTCATTGTTTTGTGTCCCTCTGGTATTTCTGAAATCTTTTAAAAGCAGAATATAACCATTCCAATTATAGTCTTCAAATAGTCTTGTTGGTCTTATTTCTTTTAAGTTACTGATAATGAGACTCCATGAAGGCTTTGTTATAGGTAGAAGTTCATTTTTGAAATAGGTTTTAACAGGCCTTAAATTCGGCATTGAAAAAGTCTTAATATGGCTTTGAGTGTGAATTCCTTATAAATTAATTTGCTTTCAAGATGCCTTAAATTTGAATCTGAATAAAAAGGCATTTAAAATTGAATCTGCATTGGAAAGACCACAAACTTAAATACTGTAATTTGCGTCAATAATTTCAACCCCCCTCCCCCTCCCTCCGATGACACAATGTTAAGTTCTCCTGTTGCCATCACTGTATAAGAGCTTTGAATTGGTAACTCTTTTGTTTACAAATTATGCTTCAAGTATTTTGTTGTCTCTAATAATACAAGGTGACATATAGCTGAGAAGTAGAAACTTGTAATAAGTAATTGGACCGATAAATAATTCTGAATGGTTATGTGTGGACATAAATATTGGAACATGGAGCTTTCTGACATAGAAATACAGTTTTGTATGACACATGATCTTTAACACATTGACAGAGCAGTGGTCATGCAAATCGGGTTACCCACAACAGTTTAACCTGATTGTGGAAGCATTGTCTCAACACAATAGGAAGTGTATCCCGTTTGACCTCTGTGCCCATGTGGGTGGACAGTTGACCTCATTGTACATACAAACATGCTGGTCACCATGCACTGACCATACATGTCAGATTGTCTGACCTTTTGGGAACAGACTTTTCCTCCATTGACATTTGAAGAAATCCCTTCATGACAGGCTGTGACAGTTGAAGAGGTTAAAGAGCAAGATCAGATATCAGTTGGAAATGAATTTCTTTTGGACCCATGTTTTTTAAACTGATCATTTTGAAGAGTTCATGATAAAGTTATAAGATATCTTTATACACATTGCAAGTACATGTGTAACTCCTATTCTTATTTTTGGACAGACATACCATAATGTCATTTTTCATGGACATCCATGTTCTTCAAACAGCGATAGGTTATTCCTTTAAAACACACACACAAATCTAATTTTAAACATGATGTCCCATATCAAATGGAACTTAATTATTCAGATACTTATCTGACATCTTTTACAGTAAAATGGTTCAATTTTGGTATTGTTTGAAGTATGCTTTAATAATTATTGCAGGTTTAAGGGACTATGGGGTAGCCTAGTGGTTAAAGCATTCACTTGTCATGCTGAAAATGCGGGTTCGATTCCCCACATGGGTACTGTGTGTTAAGCAAATTTCTGGTGTCCCCTGCCGTGATATTGCTGGAACATTGCTAAAAGCGGTGTAAAACCATACTCACTCACTAACTATTGCAGGCTTAAAGAAGTTTGAAAGGCACAAACTATACAAGAGGCTTTTTGAAAGGAGAAATGATTAATTGTGTGAATGCACATCTGTCTCATTAGTATCGCCTCATGTCAAAAAGGAAATTCAATGCAATTCATCTTTGTTGATGAAGCATGAAGATATTAAGTAGACCCATCCAATCATCATTATGTGGTGGGAGGAGATTCGAAGAGAGGCATATATCATGCGTTATGATGGTGCTATCTTCATCACGGTAGCATCCAGAGACAGGTTCATATCTCCCGTATACACTATCATAGACAGTGTAGTATAACAAATGTTTATGAAATCTTACTCTACAGCCCAGCGATACTGTCTCTTAAACCATGACCTATCTAACCAATATTTCTCCAGAATGGAAGATAGGAATCATTGTCCATACATTTTGGTTCCGGATACTCAGACATTAGGACAAATGGTCCGACAAATAGATAGGTTCATGTACAGATAGTAAATCCCTGTGAGCCTGTCTGTTGATGGTATCAACATCTCTACTGTGAGGATCAAGTCCACAGGGAATACACACAACTGCTGCAAGGATATAGACTTTCTAACTGGGATTCCAGGGGTCACTGACTGGGGCTAGGGAGACTTACCATGAGATATGGACACTGTTGGAATGAAGGCAATTACAAGAGAGGCAGATATTCTATGTCAAAGATGAGACCTTTCATCCAGCAATAGCCACAGGGACGATTTTTACCCAGCCATGGCAGCTTAATAGCATGCTTGTGATGTGTGTAGACTCTCGAGATGGGACTGGAAGATCTGTGAAGTTAGTGGAGGGAGGCTTGACCTGTGGGCTATGTGGGTTCCCCTCCATGTGAAGCTGGATATCTGTGCATGCTCCGTGTGTTGCAGACCCAGGTTACTATCTGCCACAGGGTCAAGTCCTGCACAACTTGTTGCTACTGGGAGGGGACCACCCATCAACAACAGAGAAAACAACACTTCTCTCATAGGATGTTTCTTACACAAACAGCTAGTCTCTGCAATGAACATATTTTAAATTAAGATAAAAGGCAATAAAAAGGAGCCCAGAGACTTTCTTCATTTTCAGAAACAGCGGTAATCTAGACTTGCCACACATTGTGGACTTGCATTGGGTATATTTGTTTCAGGGTCTGTATGACAGACTAATGCTTAGTCTCTGAGTACATATAATTTTGATAAGAACAAATAATTCCTTTTAAGCTGAAAAGGAACCTCAGTGAGATTGGAGATTCAAAACCTGAGGAAGTGTAGACTTGCTTCACTTAGGGCTTTAGCAATGCAGAAATGAAGTGGTTCAGGAACTTGAATTGACATCTAATGGCTCAAATGGTTATACTTCATGTTGTTTCGCTTAGGTATGACCATGGGTTTGAATCCAAGATTCACTTTAAATGAGTGAGTTAGGTTTTTATGGTTTTTAGCAATATTCCAGTGTGGGACACTGGAAATGGGCTTCTCACATAGTTCCCATGTTGGAAATTGGACCCGTGCCTTTAGCATGATGAGCAGATGCACCTCACTTAAAAGATGAGATATCTGTCCGTGTGGGGCCTCAAATGATTGGGCCTCTGAGTTCACTTTAGGAATGTTTTGTACTGTTTGTTTGGGGTTTTTCTGGTTTATTGACAAAGCAAATCATTTGAAAAAGAATTATTTGAAAATTCAGGTTACTTTTTTTAATATATATGTAATATTCTTTTTACCATTTTGTTATTCCAATCCAACAAAACAAGCCATTGGTGAATACAAATAAACTGAAACTGTTGTCACTTTGTTGAATGTGGCTTTTTGGCTCTGTGGTAAACAGAAGGATTGAAACAAGAGATTCAATGTATTCACTTGACATTGTACAGGTTAGGAATTCGGTGAGTTTAAAACATATATTTCATTTGGCCTTCTACCTGAAATCGAACGCAGCCACTGCTGCGATGTTATCTGCTATGCCAGTGAACCTTTAAGAATGGCGGATACTCCATGTCTGTAATCAGGCTCAAACACGTGCCCCAGAAACCCTCACATGAGCAGGTAGTAATACAATACAGGTAAAGAAGCAGGAAACATTTGTCCCTCTTGCCGTGATGTAGGGGACCTGTGATAGTCAGGCTTTCATTTGTACAGGTCGACTTGAAAGGTTGCATGCTGATCATGCTACTACAGACAATGTTTTCTTTACAACTGATCTCAGGGGTGCAGGTGGCAAGGGGATCAGTTTGGAGGGCTTGCATGGCAGTAAATATGAAACATGTCGTATAAACCATTTACCAGACTGATAACTGTCCAGATAGTGCAGCCGCCACTGCTGTTTGGATGGTTCACCTTCACATTATTTCTTCTGGGGACGAGATGAAAAAGATCATATATTGTGTCTGTGGAATGTCATGCAATAAAGTGAATTTAAAAATGATATTACATCCAGAATATGATGCAGCTATAAAACTTTAATTGATTTGTGGATTGAGTTGCCTGCCCTTGTTGGAAAGATTGCCTTTTGTATCTGTTTTCGGTTGATGAAAATTCATCAAATAAAGAGGATTTTATTGGACTGAAATTGCATCCAGCATTTGATGGAGCCCTAAAACTGGTTGCAAAATTATTGCCTAATTGGTTTGAGTTACCTTCCCTTCATGGAAAGATCATCTTTTGTATCTGTTTTTGGTTGGTGAAACTTCATGCAATAAAGAGGATTTGATACGAACAAAATTGGATCAGCATTTGATGCAGCCCTAAAACTGGATGTAAAATTATTGACCTATGCACTGTTATGACTTATTGTTATAGTTTCTTCATAGGTTGAAGTCATCTGTATTGTTTTATTTAAGAATGATAGGAAATACTGAAATTGAAGAATGTAAGGCTGAGGCGATAGTATATTAATTACTTCTATTTTGTTTCCCCCCATAT